CATGATCAACCTCATGAGCCTGGATGTACCCAGACACTTCTCTCAGGTCTACTTAAGGGTCTCACTATTTGAGAAACCCTGCAGTAGGGAAAAAAGAGGTAAGTCATCCATATATGTAAAGCTGGAGCATGCAAGTCAAAGCCATTGGGGATCAACCATGAAAAATGCTACTGTAAGAACAGTAACATGAATTTATTACCGTTAACAGGCTCTTACAACACTTGCACAAATACACACCTGAGTCACATTTCTGGACTTTCATGTCTATTGGTATTTGTATGTTGCCAGTCTCCCTTTAAAAAGTTCAGTCATTAAAAAAAAAAAAAATCTAAGACCAAGAACTTGAAAATTAGGGCACGCTAAATAAGTATTTGTTTCTGCACTGCACAAACTGGGTACTCAGATCTAGTGCACAACAAAGAACCCAAAAGAAAAATCATAGTATGCAATTATACAATAGAAGAATATATGATAATGCTGAGTTGTAAAGAGAGCAGAATTACAGCCCCATTAGGGCCTGATAAACATGTCTTCCCCAGCTCACTGCCCTGTTACCTCCTCACTTTGTTCATTCACTTTGTGATTCACAGTGTGGATTAGTTTAAGGCAGCCACCATGCAGTTCAGCATTAGCTAAATATTTAAATGAGAAAGCCTGAGCGAGGTAGCTCTTTCACCTTCCTCCCTACATCTGCATCAGAGGCACATTTTTCCAGCCAGGCATCAGTCTCAAGTTTGCAAGAGAAGCTTCATCTGGAAGACTGCTTTCCAAAAAAAATCTTATGTGCTGTTAGCAAGTGCCCTTTGGCTGATGCATTGATTCTTAGGTATCAGCATACACAGTTCACCCTGGCCTCCTGTAAGAGGGAAGATTTCACCCAAGCATGTAACATTTGGCCTTGCCTTGACTTTGATCCCCAGAACAAAAGATTCTACTGTTTGTCTCACTGGATGCATAATATCCCCAAAACCAATACCCAGCAACAACAAAACACAACACAAGAAAAACTGGCTTGATTGCTACTTGGAAAAGCATTCTCTTTGAGTACTAAGAAGTGATCTTCACGTAGCTACCAGGGCATGGTGGAATTGAAGGCTGCCCCCTTCACTTTCTTAACTGTACAATGGGACATCATAAGAGCAATGGAGATGAACGGAGCAGAGTATCATCGTTGCTCCACTGCTTACATTGCAGTCTGATGCCTGGGAACAAAAAACAAGAATACAAGCCTACAGCAAGAATATCCTTTTCCAAATGCAGCCTCCTAACTTTTTATACGGCCATGAGAAAGCACAAGAATGACTATTTTATAAACAAATCATGTAAAGAAATTCTGTCTGCATTTTTCTGAAGAGAAAGGAAGAGAATAACTGCACTAGATTTGGGTCAAGGTGATTGACATCTGTATTTTCCTCAAAGCAATTTTTATTACTTCAGCACACAGCTTTTGTAATAGCCAACAGAGGGGAAGCAAAAGGCACCAGGAAAGTTTCAGCTCTAAAATCAATTCACAATTGGTAGCCTGATGGAAGGCATAAGGGCTCTTAGTATCATTTATAGAGTACGCTAATGGATGGAAGGAAAAAAACATACAGATTAAAAAGAAAAAAATCAAAGATAGAAAGGGACATTAAAAAGTTCCGGCCACAAGCAATCTGCTTCGGTTTTACTTTCAGTCAGCAATTATCTAACACCTTATCTCATTTATATGGTAATAACTTGTCTCATGTCAACTCAACAAGCGGAGATGCAAGCTACTCAGAGCCAGCTCCTTGAATGTTCTGGCTGGCTGCAACCTGCCGTATGTGGGCGGAAGGACCTCGCTGGGTTGTAGCTGTACTCAGAGCACCAATTAGACTTGCCAATGAGCCAGACCTAGCAAACTGTGAGGTGCATAATAACTCATGAAATCTATTGTGGAAATGGAGTTAGTTTTAACTCTTTCTAGTTGTGCGCACACTCAACATGAAAGCATCTTTGGATATGTATTTGTCCAGGGAAGATGTTTGCCACAGGAGAGAAAACTGTTTCTGAAGGAGGAATGGGAAATTCAGGCAAGATTTAGAAATTTATTCCAGGATGGTTTCTATAGCTGCAAAAATGTATTTTCTCCGAAATTACAATCATAGACAGACAAAGTGAGCAGATGAGCCAAAACAGATCTGGACTTAATGAGGGAGATATGTTCTAGTGTTTGGTATTTCTCTCTGGAATGGCATAGCTCATTCCCTTCTCAAGGCAGGGGAGATGCACTGTGACCTGTGGGGTTCCAATCAACACTAAAGTTCTAGGACATAAAGATTTGAAGTATCCCAGGTTGCAAACTCCAAGACAGAATAAACATCCAAAACAGAAGTCCTTTGTACAGACAGAAAACCCCACATCAGTGTTCTTGTTGAAAGTTCAGCTATTTTAATGAGCTGTCTTTCAAACTGATTAAGGGAGGGCTTCACATCTGAAGTATAGTGTCCAGTTCTGGTCTCCCCAGTACAAGAGGATGTGGAGTTGCTGGAGAGAGTCCAGCGCAGGGCTACCAGGATGATCAGAGGCCTGGAACATCTGCCCAATGAGCAAAGGCTGAGAGAGCTGGGTCTGTTCAGCCTGGAGAAGAGGAGGCTGAGGGGGGACGTGATCAGTGTCTATAAATACCTCAGGGAACGCAGTGGGGAGGAGGGGGCCGGCCTCTTTTCAGTGGTGGCCAGTGATAAGACTAGAGGAAACGGCCACAAGCTGAGGCACCAAAAGTTCCACAGGAACTTGAGAAAACACTTTTTGACAGTGAGGGTGACAGAGCTCTGGAACAGTTTGCCCAGGGAGGTTGTGGAGTCTCCTTCTCTGGAGATCTTCAAAACCTGCCTGGATGCTGCCCTGTGCCACGTGCTCTAGTTGACCCTGCACGTGCAGGAGGTTGGACTAGATGATCTCTGAGGTCACTTCCAACCTTAAGCATTCTGTGATTCTATGACCAATAAGAGCTAATAGGTTGTGGACATACAGGAATGCTGTGTTTCAACCTTTAATTTAATATCACAATCAGCAAGATATGGTGCACCATACGCAGGAGAATTCTGATCTCTGCTCATCTGGTAGTGTTTTAATGACCAGTTGTACAGTACCTACTGCTACCACCAACACTTGCCAAATGGAGGAGGGTATGTTCTAAAGGGAGCTAAGAGCAGCTGTTTAATACAGGAGCTTTTGGCAGTCAGACTACAGTAACACAGGTACTGGGTACTCTTCCCACCATCTCAACAATAATAAAGAGCACCCATTTCCACCCTAGCATAGTTAAGATGCCTGTCTTCAGTTACAATGTCTAACTCTCTGAAATGCTGGATCAAAGACCAGCATATTGGAACAGAAAGAATTCAATATCAGGGCAAAGGGGGATGGAAATAGTTTAGGGAAAATGTTGTAGCCATCAAAACATAATTCCATTTTTGGACAATCTAAAGGTCCCTTGGGAGAAATGCATCAAGAGCGGACAATACAGACAAGAAACTACTTTGCTTCTCTTGATTCAGGTACTTTATGCCTGACTTTATAGGCATCGGTAATCAAGTTCAGCTTTTAAACCTGAACACAAAAGATTCAGTTGTTTGCTAACTCAGAAGCTAGGAAAGGATTTTCGATAACTGCAACAGCTGCCAGCTATGCCATCCTTTTTTTTTTTTTTTTTTTTTTAATAAAAAAGCAATGCAAGCATAAAACTGCTCGTCAATTGAGAACAACAGCATCAATAATGAATTTTCACTATTAATAAAGCCTGCCTCCAGGGTCTTGCCAGCAAGCTTAATAAATATTTCATTGTCTTTCATTCTGAGAAATTATCTGAGAAAGGGCTTGGAAAATCCTGAGGAAAGGTGAAGGAGTTGTTTAAAATATAAGTTTCTGAAATGCTAATAGCAATGAGGAAACGTTAGTGCAAGTTTAGCTTCGCATCAAAAATGGAGTAGCTATGGGAGAGATTTAATGAGCTACATGTCCAGCGCGGTGCTGTCAAGTGCTTCTTAAGCATATTAGGGTACTACTGCAGAAACAGCGCAATCATCACATTGTAGCATTCAGCAGAAATACCATTACCTCAGTGGGAGTCCCTCTGCCTCCCCCCAGCCTCTGGTGGATAAATTAGAGCCTAAAACATCACACAACATCTTCACGTAAGTGAACCTTGTATCTTGGAAGCGCTCCCTGCCAACTCCCCAAACGCAAAACAAAAGGCCATGCAGGCAGGGCAGCACAAAAAGCCAAGAAAAACGTCTGACGCTTGTGAAGGTTAAGAATGTTATGGGTCAACGTCATCTGAAGTCGTAATGAAAAGCCCCCTGAAGGCCTTAATGAATATGCTCACACACACACAAACATTTTTAAATATGTATTCAAAGTACTGTTAGATCCTAATGCTCCTCTGGTGATTAAAGCTGGTTCTGCTCCTAAGTAAATAATTAAATAGCAACGAATGGCTTGGCCTGGAAAAGAGCAGAACGCTAGGCCAAGATTTTAGATAGCTGCTCTTTTCCCCAGTGATAATGGCTTCGCTCTGATTTGGTGGAGGGAAGTCTGGAAAAGCAAGAGTCACGCAGGATAGCTGAAGTGCCTATATTTGTAACTGCAATTTAGAATCAACGTTTATTTCAGTTTAGTCTGTTAATGGAAGAAGAAATAGCTCACGCAGCAAAAAGAGAATTAAGGAATACCACTTGTGTAAATGGAAATAGGTGAAATATTTTCTTATTTGGGGCAGAGATGTTTTGTTCTAGTTGTGGTCAGACAGCTGTATTCAGGGATAAAACATGTTAGCAGTATGTACCTGAGAGCATTAGATATCCAAAATAAACTCAGCTAACTCAACAGAGCAAAATACTAAACTTCTAGCTTTTGGGTTTTTTTTTTTTTTTTTTTTTTTTGGTCTGCTGTTAAGTTTTAACATAAAGATACATACCCCTAAATACCATAGGACAAACAGATTATATATGTGCATATGTATACATGCTACTGACCTGTTTCACTGAGAACTTTGGCCACAACATGCAGCTCAGGAGCACACCCAGGTTTTCCCTGGATCCAATCTTCTTTGCAATTGCCCAACCACAATATAGGCAGCAGGCAGCAACATAGCAAGAGACGCTTCCCTTTGGAGGGATACAGCTCAGAGTCCTAAACAGATCAGTTCAAGATCTGTCAAGGAGAACACTTGAACTTTCTTTTAGCTTTCCCCCCCCAAGCAGGAGCCCCACAAAATAAGCAAAAACATTTAATACAGGACCAGAGTCTTCAGAGCACTGCTGACTGCACTTAAATGCATTGCAGGGGGCTACCCCCCAGCCCACATAGGCTCAGTAGCCGTGATTGGGGACACCTGGGTGGCCCCACGGCACCTGGTGGCAGCTCAGCGGCCAGCTGGGCAGCACAGATTGTCCTTGGGACTCCTCAGGCCCAAGGAAAGGGACCTCAGTGCTGGCAGCTGGGGAGGGAGCCGCGCAAGGAGGTGCAGGCCTGGCCACGGCAGCGTGTGCAGGCCGGAGCTCGCGCCTTGTGCTCTGCGAGAGCCTCGGGTGCTGCTGCATTATGTACAGTTCATTAAAGTGTAAACTGTGTTAAAAGGCATGTGATTTGTGTGTTGCAGGCCTTCCTTTTTTTTTTTTTTTTTCCCCCCAACAGTGATCTGGAGCTTTTTTTCTTTTCGTTTTGTTTTGGTTAATGTGGGCATTTCTTCTCGAAATAAATCTGTATATATAATCTGTAAATCTGAATAATCATTTCTTTTGAACTATTTATTTCAGTAGAGATATTGTCATAAAGAGATAGCATATACACTTGTGAACAGATCCATTCTAGAAATTTGAATAAGGTTTTATAATTAGGAGTATGAAGTTCTGGAACTATCTTGCAAAAAGTCATCTTTTAATAAGATGCAAATAAGGCAAAAGTAACTGATCTATTCAAGGTGATATACAAACTTTGCATCAGAGATGGAGATAAGACTCTGGAAATCTAAATGCCAGATCAATTCCTTTAAAAACCCTCACTTTTCTTATCAGCAAGGGCCCAACATATTGGAAAGATGGTTTGTGGAACCAGACTTTACAGTCTGATATATATGAAGTGAGAGAAGTAAACTAATATAAAACAAATAGATTTTATAATATTAATAAACAATTACTGATTATTAAGGGTAAATCACCGCCACTAAATTTTGGAGTGATTAAAAAAGTAAAAAATATCCTTTTAAAAAAGAGATTTGCTTTTCTGACACAGGATATCAGTGCCTCCTAGAAGTAATCAAGATGCTAATGGGCAGTCTCTTCCTTCCTTTGCATGGCAGAACAATCATTTATTGATAGTTCAGAGTTCTTCTGAGGGTTCTACTTTTAAATTTTATTGTTGGAATGATCAATATAGTGGCATCTTCAGGGAATACCTTCTATACTTAAAAAGTTCAGTTGGCCGCAAACAAGCTTAGACACTTCAGTTCTTTTCTGAACTCCTGTGAATTTGGGATTATTGCCTGACTGTAATTTTCTTTCCATACTGTGCTTGTCAGTATGTCGATTTGGCTTTTTCTCTACCAGTGACAAATGAAATTGATGGCAGGAGCTCTTCTCTGGGGATTTCCAGAGACATCTCTCTAATTATTCAGTTCGTTGTCATTTGCCTCTTATTTCAAGATGTATACATTTCTCACCTTGTTTTATTTCTGAAAATCTGAAATCCAGTATCAAAATCCACTCTTATGTATTCTTAATCAATCCTCTGCTGCTCACTTTATGCAAAGAAAGAGATAGATTTGTTATTCAAGAGAGATTTTAGAAAGTGGTGTTTGGTTCCTCAATTCTCTTTTGCTTCCCTTCACCTCGGGAATAGGAACTGTGTTTCAGTTATAAACAAGTTGTCGCTGTATTCGGGAGGGAGACTGTGACACAGGTTCAGGGCACTCTCCCTAGTGCTCCCTCATGCTCATAAACCAGCACATTGCCTGTCTGAGGGATTCAAAGATTCCCAAACAATATTAAATATTCAGTCCTGACATTCTTTTCCCCTTAGCCTTAAATGAGGCAGAATCTTTTGTATTTTCTGGTAGCCCTAATGGGTCAAATTTCATAGTTCTTAGCATCTGACTCTTGCTTGAGTTAAAATTTTGTTTTGGGTAGGAGCAAGTGATTCCAAACTCTCATTCTGACCTCCCAAAACAGGATTCAGAAGGTACAGTTGTTTTGTCCAGGTATCAATATGCTGAACAGCATTTAAAAGGGAAATGGAAAGGACTTTGAAAAAACTGTTGGTCCTCAACTGTTGGATAGAATTGTACTATTCAAATTTGTAGTTTCGGTGCAGCCATTTGTGTCATCTTCATCTGGCAAGGCCTAGTAGCAAATTTTTACATAGAGCTTGATCTACACAAATTATTGTTCCAGAATGCTATTCCAGAATGCTGCCTTGCTGCTCTTTGGGTTTTTTTTTCCACATAACGCTGAAAGTCCTTCGTTTTCCCTCTTCCCAACAAAGATTAGTTTCTTACATTCACTCAGTGGGACTGGAACAGCAATGCTTCATCATAAGGCAAAGCCTTAAGAGAAGTTGTGAAAGGATTCAGTATTGTAATGGTGATACCTGTCTTCAGACGGCTGCAGTTTGTGAGTTCCCGTATCTCTTCAGAAACAATTTACAATTTCCATCAATCCAAGTGAGAATCTCTTCCTGTTTGTCTATGAGAGTGCCACTGTTGACACCCAAATGCCCTGCCTTAGCAAAGTTCATGAGCTTTCAGCCTCACAAATGACCACAGCAGCTTTGCAGATTACTTGGGTAGAAATTAATTTGACAACTTAAAGGTTTAGATGTTCAAAAGGTATTTAGCTATTCTGAACTTTGGAAAGACACCAGCGTCATTTTCAAAACACTCACCCTGCACTATATAAACCTAAATATCTTGGATATGCCTCTGCCTAAATTTCTTTAGAAAGCTGGAGCAGAGACGACTTCACTTAAGTTCTTATATAGAATCACAGAATCATAGAATGCCCAAGGTTGGAAGGGACCTCAGAGGTCATCGAGTCCAACCCCCCTGCACACGCAGGGTCACCTAGAGCACGTGGCACAGGGCTGCATCCAAGCGGGTTTTAAAGATCTCCAAAGAAGGAGACTCCACAACCTCTCTGGGCAGCCTGTTCCAGTGCTTTGTCACCCTCACAGTGAAGAAATGCTTCCTTAAGTTCCTGTGGAACTTCCGATGCTTCAGTTTGAAGCCATTTCCTCTAGTCCTATCCCTGCTCACCACTGAAAAGAGGCCGCCCCCCTCCTCCTCACTGCCTCCCTTGAGGTATTTATACACGCTGATCAGGTCCCCCCTCAGCCTCCTCTTCTCCAGGCTGAACAAACCCAGCTCTCTCAGCCTTTGCTCCTAGGGCAGATGTTCCAGGCCTCTGATCATCCTGGTAGCCCTGTGCTGGACTCTCTCCAGCAGCTCCACATCCCTCTTGTACTGGGGAGCCCAGAACTGGACACAGTACTCCAGATGTGGCCTCACCAGGGCTGAGTAGAGGGGGATGATCACTTCCCTTGACCTGCTGGAGACGCTTTTCTTAATGCACCCCAGGATCCTCTTGGCCTTCTTGGCCACCAGGGCACACTGCTGCCTCATGGTCAACTTGTCGTCCACCATGACACCCAGGTCCCTCTCTGCGGGACTGCTCTCCAGTAGGTCCACGCCTAATCTGTACTGGTGTCCAGGGTTATTCCTCCCCAAGTGCAGGACCCTGCACTTGCCCCTGTTGAACCTCATGAGGTTTCTCACCGCCCAGTCCTCCAGTCTGTCCAGGTCCCTCTGGATGGCAGCACAGCCCTCAGGGCTATCAGCTACTCCTCCCAGTTTAGTATCATCAGCAAACTTGCTGAGGGAGCACTCCAGCCCTTCATCCAGGTCGTTAATGAATAAGTTGAACAGGATCGGACCGAGAACTGATCCCTGGGGGAATATGACCTTAGTTATTTTTGTGGTACAGCTAATAAATGAAGCCAGGACTTCCAAGTGACTGTACAGACCTGACAGAACACCCTCCTGTACTGTACAGCTTCACCAGAGCATAGGCCTTAAGTTCCTAGGGACTTAGGGCCTTCAGTGTTGGAGGTGACAGAATCTTTCATAGCCTCCTACTTGCACTGGAGAGTGAAAGATTCCTGCATGTGTGTCCCAAGGTCAGGGAGGACCCCAAATCCCCTCTGCTCACTGGGGCCTGTTGTTCTCACAAGCACATTGTGCAAACTTGGAGGCAAATTTCACACCACTGCCTACAAAATCTGGCATCTTGCTGGCACAGTATCACAGGGGTAGAGCTCCACTGCTCAACTTGAACTAAGAATTAAGTCCCGCACTGGGATTTGCCACTGGGCATGCTGAGCTGTCACTGTTCAAAGGACTTTGGTTGTGTAAGCAGGCCAAGGGAATCATTAAACCACACTCAATGAAAACAAACTTTAAATGAGAGATTAAATGAAAGGGACAAAAGTTGTCAAATTGTCAAGGTTAATGTTTTCATAAAGCTAACTAGGGAATGACTAGATGATACGAGTATAAACTTTGAACTTAATTAAAACTTTTAAAAATGTGACTGCAAAACTAGCGTCACTCTAGTCAGTCAATAATTACATCTTCCGCAAGGAAATATGGGTTGTTTGGTACTTTTGGTCAGTTTTCTTCTTTATCCTTGAACTATCTTAACTTTGTAACTCAAACTGCCCTATGCCAAAGCTAGACGAGCCCTGCTGAGCGGGATCACAGCCTCCCACAGCTTCTGCTCAGCATCATCCGTGCGTGTTTGGCTGAGGGAGCGATTTTGCCCTCAGCTGGCCTACAGCTATGGGATCGGTAACAGCCCGTGAACATGCACATGGAGACAAAGAAAAAGCTCATCTTAGAAATCTCTGCCCTTATTCCTTAACTAGGCCATGGAAGTTTCTGCAGAGGAGCCTCACAGGTGCTTTCAGCATCTCTCCTCAAAGTACTGCAACTTTCCATGGACTCCAGAGGCAACCAAGAGCAAAGGGATTTAAAGCTTCTTGCACTACAGTCCTAGCAGGTGGCTGAGCTATTCTGGTGGTCAAAAACAGGAGAAAAGGAGCTCGGGGGAGCCTTTGAGAAAGGCCTTGACCTTGGCAGAACTCCAGCACAGTTTAAGAGACTGGATGAAGGGCCCAGCCATCTTGTTCCCTTGTATTTTGTTGTTAGTAAGCGTTATCATC